GAGCGGGGTTGATTTTTCTTCCCCGAGAAGCTTCTCGCAACGCGCCCGTTCGCCGGTGCGATCCTAGGGGAGAAGGGAAGGAGCCGTTATATAAACCCCTCCCTTGGTTCCCTCATGGTGGGAGCCGATTTAGGGCAGGTACTGCGTTTCTAATGATGCTAACTTCTTATGTAAGGGAAGATCTTTGCATCTAACGGGCTGCTAGAGCCCGTTTATGTTTTTGACACAAGAGTGTTTCATTATTGGCAGCGGCTCCTTCTCCCAGCCCCATGGACACACCCATCCTCATCCTCCTTCTTCCCCAGCCTCGGAGGCAGGAAAGTGAGCTCGGAAATGGAGCTTTGATGTGTGACATTGGTGCAGGAGCCGCTGGGCTGCGCAGTTGCGTTTTAAATGATGTGTAGGAGATGCAGGGGATGCACAAAATCACTATGTGAGAAATGGAGCATCCTCCCTTTTTGTTTTTTGGGAGGGGGGATAGTTTCCCTCCTCGAGTCTGATGAGAGAGAGTTTAAAAAGATGCCTCTGCTGAAATAACGATGGAGGCTACAGCTGAATCACTGTCATGAGCCAAAAGTAGCGTGACGCATTTTCCTTCCAACTGAGTGCTCTGATTGATGCTGTGTGCACCCGATGCGATTCTGCAAAGATTAAGGGATAGAAAAAACACCACATTTTGGTCCGATCTGCTGTTGTATAAACCTGGAATTCATCCCCTCAGACAGATGCTTGAAGAAGGAGGCTAATCCATGCGTGGCTGTCCTGCTTGCACTGCATCAGCAGGGTAAATACGCACACATTCAGCAGCAGGCCCTCGCACGGCTGCGAGCGCTTTTGTCTCCGAGGTGGTTGAAATGAGCAGAGGGGTTCACACTGGTTTCAGAGCCCACCACACAGCCGCAGCAGGAGACAGCAGAAGCGTTCCCAGCAGCCTTACAATGTTCCACGCTGCAGTTTTGTTGCTCAGTAGATGTATTTATTCTTCTTTCCTAATTGCTGCCCAGTGCGTTAGGACATGGCTGTCAGTGACACCCATGGCCAAACAACCCCATTTCAGTAGTAGCTGGCTGTTTCAGTAGCACAAGGAGTCTGCACTAGAGGTGGGCATCAATACTGCAGTGTTTCTGGAGATGGTAAACATGTAGGACAGTTTGCTGTAGAGGCTGGCATTGAAAGACAAGCGGGTTTTTCACGCCCCAAGTGAATTCATTCAGGCTTATTGGCATTCACAGCAGATTCTATATTTAAATCTTGGGGTTTTCTTTCTTTGTTCTTTTTTCTAAATGGGTGGCGTTACTCAGGGAAACTCTCCATTGCAGCAGTAGGAGGGAGGAGAAGGAAAAAAAGGAGGGGGAAGAAGAGACACTTAACATCTTGTAGATGTTTAGCAGTTACATAAAAGATGGATATAATGATATAAATCAGTAGCTGATGCAATTCGTGTCACCCTTTTGTCATTGAAGAGCCATGTCGGCTTGTGTCAGTTGAGAACCAGGTGCTCCAACTGTTCCGTTTTATTATAAGCTCTTTAGCTCTTTGACCAATGGAGTCCCAGCTCAAAATAAGGGCCCTGAGCACCACTGTCACCGTCTCACATGTATTTGCTAGAAGTTCAAGGCACCACCAAGTCAAAGTCCTGCTTTCCACCCCTCCTTGAAGTCAGGTTTTGGTCTTTGGCAGTGCTGTTCTGGTTCTCTGTTCTCTTACCAAGAGGTTTTTGGGAGGAGGAAAGAGAATCGCACTAAGTCCGAGTGCAGATTCACGGGCCATGGTGCAGTTTAAACTGAACTCTGCGTAACGTGTATGTGCTTTGCTTTAGATGCATGTGTCTGTAATATAGGGAAGGAGGGAACCAGAGGAACACAGCGATCACTTTCAACTTTCCTCCCCACCCAGAGCTCTGCAGTGTGTGTCACTCTGGTTTATGACTATTGCATAAAAAGATGAGCTTGGTTTTGTCCTAAAACCTTGTAAAAACAAGATGTAGCCTGGGCTGAGACACAGGCACATCTGTTGGCTGCCTGGTTGCAGTTACCTTTCTGTTCCTGCCAAACTCTTTTCTAATTTGAGGACATTTTAATAACCATTTTCTAAACCCCTTCTCTTCAACTTAATCTGAGTTTATTTCCATCCCATGAGGCAGTGGTGCTCTGGAAAGGCAGCAAGAGGATCCACTGCATTGAAACATCACTCAGTTGGCCAAAATGAGTTTGTTTGTGTTGTGTAACTCATGGCAACAGACTTTTGGTCCATCTCCCTGACAGCAGTTGACTCGCAGTGAGCCAAGCCCTGACTCCAGTGTGTGGGTGCGTATAGGAAAGTGTGCATATGACCAAGGCAGGGCAAAAAATCAGAGATGTGGCTGTTAACATCCCTCACAGCATTATTTGATGCCTTTGCTGTAGGTGATGGTTGCAAGCTGCAGGTATGGGTGAAGCTGCCAAGTAGACGAGCCTGCTGGAACCCAACTCCCTTTCCATTCTCATTCTTTTTTGGATCATTAGTGTGATGAAAGGGCGTACAGATGAAATAAAATATTTTATCTTCCCAGTTGAAAGTGCAGCAGTTGACTTGTGTTTTGACATGTACTTCTGAATAATGCAGAGGATGCTTCCATCTCTTTTATCTCGGAGGTGACACTGCAGACTGTCAGCTTTCGCACAGCATAACCATGGCTTGTTCTATGCTTCTTTGTTGCAGAGTGATCGTCTTTTGATCAAAGGTGGTAAAATAGTGAATGACGACCAGTCTTTTTATGCAGACATTTACATGGAAGATGGGTTGATAAAGTAAGTGAAGCCTGATACCATGTTGCAATTGGAAATGTGCAGAAACGTACTGCAGATTAGCAAGGGATAACTCCGTGACCTATATTAAATCGCAAGGAAAAATGAGTTGTTCATGTATATCCTGGTGTTTGATGGAGGGACTTTAAAAACAAGGTGTTGAGTTAAATAAGCAAATGGGCCCAAACCCCACTGTTACTAAAGCATGGGTCAGAGGAGATACTTGTGCTTAATTTTAGCCATGTGAATAGCCCCATGCTGAGATGACACATATGTTAGAAGTTAGCTGTGTTGTAATGTTTTACTGAGTTATGACTTAAGATATTTTGAAGCCAGAGTTCAGCATCTTAATACAGTTAATTCTGGTTTTGGGTCAGAGGCTGGACTTAGGTGACCTCTTGAGGTCTCTTGCGGTGCTGTCTTCTGTGGTTCTATGATGCAAGGATCAATCCAACCCCCCTTAAAGTTAAAAATCACAGAATCCCAGACTGGTTTGGGTTGGAAAGGACCTTAAAGCTCCTCCAGTTCCAACCCCCTGCCACAGGCAGGGACACCTTCCACTAGAGCAGGTTGCTCCAAGCCCCTGTGTCCAACCTGGCCTTGAACACTGCCAGGGATGGGGCAGCCACAGCTTCTCTGGGCACCCTGTGCCAGCGCCTCAGCACCCTCACGGGGAAGAGCTTCTGCCCAAGAGCTCATCTCAGTCTCCCCTCTGGCAGGTTCAAGCCATTCCCCTTGTCCTGTCCCTACAGGCCCTTGTCCAGATTTCTTGTAGGCCCTCTTTAGGTATTTGAAGACTGTTTTAAAGTCTCCCCTGATCCTGTATTTAAGGATTGAGGTTCAGACTTCGTTCCAGCATGTTGCTATGTTTTCCATCCTGAAACATGCGTTTCTGGCATGTTAAATATATTACAGATCTCTTTGGAAAATTACTCCTAGGACGAGGCAGAGGTTACAAACAAGGAATTTTCCTGTTCTGGCTGTCAGCACATGTGCTTTGTTAATCAAGGTTAAAAGTTAAAGGAGAGAGCCAAAGACAGCTAATGAGTTGCAATAAATGTATCATCCACTGTTGCTCTTCTAAAAATAGGTTTGTGAAGAGCTGGACTGGAGAGACCTTTGAGGGTCCCATCAGGGATTTGGTAACCAGTATCTGCATGCCTTTATGTTTGTGCAGGGACTACAGAGTGCATGGAAGTAGACAATATAGAGGGAAAAGTTCTTCCACTACTTCCAAAACAATGCTAACATCAAAAATGCTGCTAAGCAGCTAGAATCAAGTGTTGAACTGGCACTTGGCAACCCCAGTCCAGCCCCAGTAAAGCTGCTCACGGGCTCTTGCTGGGTTTGGTGCAGTGGTCATCTGCCAGTGTGGTTTCTTGTCCTTCCCGTTAAGTCTAATATTGCCCTGAGGTCCTGAAGTAGTTGCACACTTTGCTCTCACTTGTACAAGTGCTTCAAGGGGAAGGGTTGGAACTAGATGATCTTAAGGTCCTTTTCCAACCCTAACCATTCTGTTACTCTGTGTATGTATCCTGATCCTGTAAATTGCTTTATATGGAAAAAGAAAGCACTAGCCAGGTTAAGTAGCACAGGGGTGTATGTTTACAGGCCTTTTGCCTTCCTTGTGTCTGACTTGCTGTTTGAAACCTGTTTACCCAGGCAAATAGGAGAGAATCTGATTGTGCCGGGGGGAGTGAAAACTATTGAAGCCCATGGCAGGATGGTGATTCCTGGAGGGATTGATGTTCACACCCGCTTCCAGATGCCGGAACAGGGGATGACGTCTGCTGATGACTTCTTCCAAGGGACCAAGGCTGCGCTGGCTGGGGGCACCACCATGATCAGTAAGCTGGCTGCTTTTCCTCTTCCAAGAAAGCTTTTCTTCTCTCTTTCTCAGATAAGTTCAGAAACTGTGGGCTCTGTAAGTTATATGTATTTTGGACCAGGTTGCTGAGAATAAGCTTGTGTAGGGGTAGGAAAAGCTGTGGCAAAGCAAGACCCCAGGATTTCCTGCAGCTGCCAGTCACTCCGCTCGGCCTCTCTGTTGGCAGGATTTACCTCGCTACTTCAGACCCAGGAATCTGACTTGGCCACATTCTTGGGTCTGCTCCTACTGAAACCAGTGTCACTTTGACCTCTGGCACCAGCAGCAGATTCTTCACATTGCTGTGCCCAGGTTCCTTTCTTCATGATGTCTATGGGTAGGTGTCCATCATATGGTTCACACCCAGAAGCTTGATGCCCGGGTACTTTGTGTCTTGGAAAACTGTGCCACCTATTTGAAGATTTGCGCGTAGCCATGTATGTATGGGGCTTTAGCACCAGGGTTTGAGTTAGCGCTGTGCCTTAGGTGCTCATATCCTCTTTTGGAGGAGGAGAGAAATCAGGAAACGAAAATACCTCAAAATAAAAAGACAGACAGACAGACTGTTCTGCTGACAGCAGGATCAGACACTCCCAGTGTTCCCCTCTGGCTCTAAAACGCCTCATGAATGACTTCCAGGCTGTCTGTCCCCATTTGTGTTGGCTACAGATGCTTGGCTAGTCAGAGCCAGGATCTTAAAGCTCCATAAGTGAGTCATTGTTAACCTTGGTTGAGCTAGAGGCAAAAAATACAGCCCTGTGTTGCAGTGCAGCTGACCACGTGTGAACTGTAATGCGGCGCCCTGGAGTCTGTTCCCGCACATGGGGATCAAGGATAAAGGTGTAAAGTGATACAATAGTTGAGCATCTTGCGCTCTTTCATGTGCTCTGAGGTGCTGCCACTTCAGAGGAGGGGAGTTAAAGTACAGAGAAATACTGTCTGATCCATGGATATAAGGAGATCTTAGGCACAGCCAGGAATCAGCCTAACTCTCCTTGGCTCAAACCTAGCTCCTTATGGACTAGAACATCCTCCTCTCTTAGGGGATGGTTATGAGTGATGCTCTGGTGGGTGGGCATTGATTGACATGGAGGTTGGGAGTAGGAGCCAAGGGTCCAAACGCAGCTGGACTGTTTGTGCTTCAAAAGCAAATCTTCTATTTTGGGTCTGAACCTTACAAAGAGGTTGTGTCCGGCCCATGAACTTGGTCCTATGCTTCAAACAGATAACCTTGGAATAACCCAGGAAATGATTTTTCATGAAGTTACCACTTTAGAGTACTGTGTATGAAGGTAACTCACAGGTGTGGAGAACGTGAAGTGGGAGTGTAGCTGCGCATGGTCTCATTCTGCTTCTCATATCCAGTTTTTCTTCAATCTCTGTCGGTTTAAATTAATAACACTGAAACGATGATTTCTTTTCAGCGTCAGTTCACTGACTTTGTTCGTTGGTTGTTCCTTTGTCATTAGTACACCTGGTTCACACTTGAATTACCATTTTATTCTTCCTTGTTAAGCTGAAGTAGATCCAAATACCGTTCTCTGCCATCCGCATCTGCCCTCCCAACAGCATCACTTCCCCCAGGGCCACTTCTTAAAACATTTGGAGCAGAAATTGCTTAGGCAGAATTTTCTGCAGTGGCCCTTTGGTTGCTCCATTTTGCCTATGCAGGGCCTCATACTTCAGAAATGCTTGGACCTTTCTCTCTACGCACCCCTCTATGGTGCCTTTGTGACTGTAGGGTCTGAGTAGTTCACGCCTGGTGTTTGTAACACATGGCTGAGAAAGGGAAGTTGGAGGAGAGTCCCCTGTTTTATAGCTTCTCCTTTTACAGCTGTGAAAAATTAGCACAATGTAGATTATGACCATGTGCAAACCGTGGAGAGGAGGCTGGTGGCTACACTTGACCTTACTGCCTTTCTCAGTGTCTTGGATTAGGAAACCAAACCACACAGCCATCTCTGAATGAAACCCATCTTCCTAAAGTGTAGCAGCAAGGACAGTAACTGGACTGCTTAGGACGATGGAGAGACATCTCTGGGTGGGTACCAGCAACTGGAGCTTAGGATAAATAATCCAACTAGACTTCAAAGCTTCAGAGCCCCTGCTCAGTGTCAGCTCAGCTCTTCTCTTAGCAAAATTACACTGTTGCAGGAAGGCTTTTCCTCCATGAAGCACACAGGCTGCCCCAGTGAACGTCCTCTTGGTGGGTGGCTTTTGGTTTTCCCCAAAGCAGGTGGCAGTTGACTTGTGGCTGATGGCAGCAGTTTTGTGCTGTTAAGATAAATGGGATAGCATTTAGTGAGCTCGACTCATAACATCACAACCAAATTTCAGCCTGAAAATGACACACGTGTGTTTGTCATTGTATATTTTTGTGGGGAAACCCATCCATGTTTCTTCGTTTATGCTTTAAGCAAACTTTTTATGATGTATTTACAAATCCCTTCACCCCATCTGGTTTTCTCTTTTCTACATAGCCCTCACTTTGGGCAAGGAAACAGGTTAGTCGGCTTTCTGCTCCAGTTCGTTTCACATTTCCATGCAGGAAGGCACTTCCAGGCTGTTTATTTTACAATCACTGGAGGGAAATATTTGTTTTACGTACATTTTTCAGTGAGATTAAAACAAGAACCTTGGCTGGGTCTCTACTGATTGTTGGGTTTATAGAAGCTGTGGGTGAAATCCTGGCTGCAGCGAGGGAACAGAGAGTGGTGTCATTGAGCTCAGCAGTGCCAGGAGCTCCCCCTGTGTGTCTGGTTCATTTTAAGCTCAGCTCGAATTCGATGTTGTTCCTTTAATTCTCATGGCACACACATCCAAGGGAAGCACACACAAGTTCAGGAATGTAACCTATTGTTTCCAAGCCCTGTTCTCATTTGCTTCCATTCCCCTTTAAAGTAAATTCATTACTAGAGCATCAGAGAGAGGAGAGTCTGACTCTCAAGTGGTGTCAAATGGAGCAGCCTCATTTTCTGTGTGGAGCCAGTGGAGATGTATCCTGGTGGGATGCAGGTCTGGCTCCACTCCAGTGCTTTCCAGCTCATCCTCTGGTCGGCTGGAATGAGGGAGTGAATGATGTGAATTAGCCCTTTTCTGCCCTACATCACCTCTGTTCCCTTGGGGCTCTCCAGTCCTGGCTTTCCTGCACTCAGGAGTGGGGGCCGGTTTCTTTTTCTAGCTGCTGGTTTCACAGAGGCCGCCTGACCAGGAATTCCAGCTGTGATCCTTCTGTCTCTGCCCTCTTCAGTGCCAAAGGCAAGACTCCAGCTGACTTTGCTCATGTATGAGGAAACAGAGTTGGTTTTGCTGAGAGATGATGTATCGTGATGGGTTGGTTGTTTTCTCGGAGTGGCAGTTTGCATGATCCTTTCTCTGTCCGTGCCTTGAGCCAGTTTCAGTGTGGATGTGTCAGCTGAGGGTGAAAGGGGCTGCACGTGTTTCAGGATAACATTTCTCTGCAATAAAACTTGGATTCACGCTTTTAAAGTGTCAGGATGCAGAGTTTGGGCAACAGGTTGAAGGGAGGATTCCAGGATGATCTGCAGAAGACTTTGGAGGAGGGAGGAGTATTAGGCCCCAGCTTGTTTGGGGTAGCTTCCCTAAGCTCCTCTGTTTTCCATGGGAAGAATTGGTCCTTCCAGAGTTTGGGAAGAGGACTCTGTCTGAAGTTGCCCTTTACAAGAGACTCTTTCTCATTCATGGAGCCACAGTTTTGTTGAGCTAAAGATGGCTTTTTTGAGCCCCTATTGTCCCAGCCTGAGGTAGGTTGATGCCTTAGGCTCTAGAACAGTCCCTGGAGCTATTACAGGAGGAAGGGATCACTGCTAAGAAGAGGGTGCCCCCACTAAGCCTGATGGTTTTTTGGTGGCTTCTTAACTGTGATGGTGAAATCCTCATCAAAATCAATGGTAAAACTCCTGCTGATGTCAGGAGAGGCAGGATTGCCTTTCTCTGCTGCTTCATCAGAAGGGGTGAAGCTGAGCTGTGCATATCCACTGTCTCTCTGATCCTCTGGTGTGTTTAATGTCCTAGTGAGAACTGCATCTCTCCAGACCAGCTCCCACGCACATTTCATCCCCCCCCTCCCAACAACCATGCTTCTTCCTGGGTATCTGCTGGCCTTGGGGGAAGTTGCTTGCTGACATTGCCTGTGTTGACTCAGTCAACCACTGTTATAATCATAGAGAGAAATTACAGTGAGAGAAATTATAGCTCTTTATGGTTTGGTGACTTGGAAGGCAGCTGCCTTTTGAACTTGACTAGCAGTTATCCTAATAACATGGAGAACGTACACTGGGGATGTCAGCCTTGGTATCTTGGGAGGTTCAGAAAATGAAGGGGAACTTCACATGGGCTGCAGTCTGCTTCCTAATACTGTACCCTGCTGTTAAAGAGAGAGCTCATGTGCAGCATGGCAGAGGTTTTCAGGAGTGTGTTGGCTGCTCAGCTCAGCTACAGTCAAATCTGTACTGAGTTGGCAGCAGGTCTCCTGGGTCATCCTGAAGATCACCACCTTGCCAGGAGGAATGTTTCCAGGTCAGCATCCTTCCTCACCTCCTGGCTTTTGAACTGAGCATGACTTGGGAGAATGGAGCCACCTCAAGGGAGATCAGAGGCTAAACCTGCAATATTGTGAGCTTTGAGAAGGCTTTGGGAAAGGACGAAGGCAGCTTGCAGAGGGATGGTGTTCAGACCCACTGCTGAAGACTAGATCGTATTCTGCCCTACTGGGTGCTGCTATTTTAGATGATTGGGGTTAGTGTTATCCTGAGGGAGAGCAAGAGTCTAAATGGTGGTCAGAGGAGAAGGGTGGACACAGACACACAGAAGGAGGTGACAGCAGTGGTCATGCAGTAACTTGTGGCTGAGCTGGCAGTATAAACCCCAGTGCTTGGAGTCCAGGGCAGCCACCACAGAGCTGCAGTGTCTCCCCAGGCTCTGTGCACACAGAGCTGCATTGTTCCGCAGACACCAGCC